ATGTACATTTGTGGAAAATGTATAAAGAGCCCTGTACGCCCCCACTCTTGGCCTTCGTTTCTCCATCTTTCTTACTTGGTGAATCGTTTGGCTTTGGAGGCCACAATTTGGTTTTAGGCTGTATCTCCTGAACTGCAAAAATAAAGGTTCTTGCTGTTCAAACCAGCCTTGTTTTCAGAGTCATTTTCATCGAGCAAACAGCAGGTCAACTTCAACCAGAAGACGTGGTTTTCTACACCTCAGTTGCCATGATGCAGTTTACTTGGCATCTGAAAATACATTTCCTCAAAGGAATTTTTAATCTGAAAAGAGCTCTGTGTGCTCTGCCATGAGGAAGTTCAGCTTAAAGACACGTGCCAGAGGTGTTTCTGGTACCAAAAGTTGTTTCTGGTCCCCACCTGTCGTTTTGCTCCTCAGCATGGCTTCATAAAAACACTGCAGGATTTCTCAAACATGATGAGTCAGAGCAAGGCTTTGATGTTTTTATGAGAGTATAGCATTWTAACATGATATAAAACTCTAGAAAGGTTGATTTTACATGATATTGCACCTTTAAGATGCATCCTGTGGTTCATGACATTCTGGTAACAGACACGACTGAAAACCGTTAGTTTTCCTGTCGTCAGCAGGTGATAATGAAGATTAGAGGTGAGGAAATAGGATTGAAGTGTTTCTGCTGACAACAACTGCAATAAAAAGAAAAGATGCCTTTTGTTTCAGTGGTTTTACCTCATAAGAAAAACATCTTATGAATGTAAAACAAAACAAATCCTGTCCTCAGTTTGTTTCAACAACTTTTAATTTCAAGGCAAATTATCCGATAGAGTCTTTAAAAGGTAAAAGTGTTAAAACAAAGAGACAAAATAAACACTGAGAGCGTCAAAACCATGTGTACAACTTCTGATTGTTTATGACTAAATGCGATACTCGGCGTCGGCCACCTTCATCATCCTCCCCCTCACATCCACGACATAAAAAGAAGCTGAAGGACACCGAGGGAGAGTGATGGCTTTCACTTTAATGTGGAGGAGAGCAGAGTTGATTCTCAGCCCTTATGGGAGACTAAAATGACGCAGTGCAGATGTAAAAAAAAAAATAACTAATTACTGAAAGATCTAGCTTTGGATTAAAAGAGAGCAGAGGCTAGGGCGAGGACATCAATAAAAATAAAAATAAAAAGAAACGAAGCAGAAATATTTGCACTTGTTCATTTTTCCATCTGTAGAAGTGAACGGTTGTTCAGGTGGACAGAAAGTAATTAAGTCTGCATGTAGCAAAAGAAAAAGACATCAAATCTACTTCATTCAGACAAATGGAAACAAAAGAAGGCTCAGCTGAAGAATGGCCACACAGAGTGTGTGGACTCACATCAGGAGGGATTCGTGCTCCATCCTTCACCGTGTTGCCCTCTACAGTGATGTGATAGACCTGCCCGTCTGTGTCGGTGAATACAAAGTGCTCCCGGGCTGAGATCGCCTGGCTGGTCTCTGATTTGCTCTCGGCGTCTTGCAGGAGGCTGCGGGCGAAATAACGAGGCAGAAYGARAAACACACAACTCTTAAACGTTTCCTTGTAAACACTGTGTAGTGAGCAGTCAGCGTCCACACGGGGACAACCGTTCCTGGGAGTGGGTTCTAGAGAAAACCCTTAAACAGCACTGCTGCAGCCTAAACACAACCTTTGAAGACAGTAGCTGTGTTTCCATTACAAATGTGCGCAAATCTTTGTCGATATTCTGTTAAAGTCGTAAAACACAGTTTCACAACTGCAGTGTTTCCATTAAGTAAGAAATGTTCTTAAAGTCACGTGAATACGTTTGTTCTCATGATAAG